CAGTTACATAAACTAGATGGCTGGAAGAATACGAAACACCCCAAAGTATGTTACAGTTGATTATTTGATTCCAACACCATGGACATTAGCTCCCATTCAGACACAAGAGCATTAGTCACTAACACTGATGTTGGGGGATAAGGTCTGATTCACAGTTGGTGTTCCAGTTCATCCCAAAGGTGTTTGATGGGGTTGAGGTCATCACTCTGTGCATTCCAGTCAAGTTCTTCCACACCAAACTGGGAAATCCATGTCTAGGAAAATTAACCTTTCTTAGTGCATGGAGATATTGTAATGTTGAAGGGCCAAAGACATTGTTGTCCAGAAAGTTTATTTGTATAACACCTTCAAGTTCAACAAGTTAAAAAATAAAGACAAGACGGGAAAAAAAGACATACAAGTAGGGTCTGAAAAGAGTAAAATACAAACGAAAACAAAAAATAAGGTATAATTGAGTAAAGAATAATAAATAATTAATACCAAATACAGTATGTGGACTAGAAATTTGACTGGGCCCAAAAAATCGGACCCAACCTGAGCTAAACAGTCTAAGAGCCCAAACTGAGCCCGAACCACGCAAGCAATTTTGGGCCAGAGCCCAACAACAAACAAATTTACTGCATGCATTATTAATAAAATACATATATTTAATCAGTTTGAGCCTTTTCTGCCAGAAACGCTTTAGAAAGTAAGGTTATGTAATGTTTAAAGAGTCAACATCAGGAGGAGTTGTAGTGGATCAATAGGTCAAACAAAGGACTTTCACCCAGGAAACTGGGGTCTTTTTCCCAAAAGTCAATTTGACTTTAACTTCAGTTTTTAGTGGTAGTTTGGTTAGGTTTAGGAAATGGTCATGGTTTGCGTTCAAATAGCAACACATACACATAATGCATACACTTATTTTCCCTATTTTCTTCTCTACCTGCCCACTCTGCTGTATTCTATTCTGTTCAGATTGCTCCATTCTCTATTCTGCTGCACTTTATTGTGTTTATTGCATTCATCTTTAAGCTTTACACTACTTTTCTACATTGGACACAATTGCATATTTTATGTTATGTCCTACTCTGTTCCTATCTGCTATTTCCTACTGTATTAAGTTTAATTAATTGGAAATAAAACAATTACAACAATTAATTTCTAATACCACCTTTAGATATTTCAATTAAGTGCTTTACTAAAATGCAACGATAATGTCATGTTTTTGAGTTCAAATATCTTCATTTGGGGGATTTTCCAAGCAAATATTGATTGTGATTAGATCAGCGTATATTTCTGCTACCCCATGAATAGTTCTCTAGATCCGCCCTGACTGTATTCCATTGTTAAAATTACTCTTATTTAATTAAATAATTCTATTTCATTGCTTGAAAAAATCATGTGAAAATGAGGTGAAGTATATTTCATGTGTGATATGTTCAAAAACAATTCCTTACAAAAAAGCACAAATGAAAATGATAAATCAGTGCCTTTGTGAAATGTTCATAAATTCACATTTTGTAAGGGATATGCCTGTTTATGAATTAATCACGCCAAATGCAGTTTCACATAAAATATCACAGGTGTCTTACATTTCAGCTTTGACAGCTGAATTCTTTTTTATTCTATCCTGGTCTATTCTACCCTAGACTATTACTGGTGTGTCAGTCAGAGCTCTCCATGCACATTATTCACCAGGAAAAACAACACAAATTCTGGTCCCATCTATCACGCCAACCGCTACACTCTCACTCTTTACCTCACTACATAAAGGCCACACTACTTCCTGCACTGACACTGAAAGTTTGTATGTACGAATCGTCCGATATGAACATTAACTAAACATGAATCATTTTCAGTGTTTGAACAAAGGACTAATGGTGTTGTCTTCTCATGAGGAGAGTCGTCACTATAAAATATTAGTAATATACTACTGATGTATCATCTAGCTTAGTGGTTCCCAACCTCTTTCCTTAAATGAGGCCTTTTCTATCATTGAGTAAACTGACTGAGTGACATATTTTATAGATATTTCATATTATATTCAAGGCATAACAGTAACAGTACAGAACAACTGTTAGGATGTAAAATGAACCCAAAAAGTGCACACAGTAACTGCAGAAAGTTTGTGTAAAATTAGTGATTTGGATGAATTTTGAGCAGATTATTTCCTGTAAATATTGTATCAGAGATTAGTTTTCCTGATATTTTTAGGAACTCTGTAAAATTCTCTGTGTGTATTATGTATTAAAACAAACAATCTGCTATATATATATATAAAGAAAACACTGAATTTGTCATCCTATATATATAGGATGACAAATTGAGTGTTTTCTTTTTCATTGCTCTATTAGCTTTGTACTGTGTACTTTTCTAATGCAGGACGAAGCTGTTTAGAGACAGTGAAGGCCATGTGTATATAGCTTGTAAACTATTATAAATAAATAAATAACAATTCTGTTTAGTTGTCTTCACATTAATGAAGAAAATCCTGAGATACAAACCTACTGTGTATATATTTTTATGTTTTTTTCACCCATTAAAAACAAGTAGGCCTTGCAACCCCCATGAAGCTCTGGCGACCCCCAGTGGTGGTCCTGAACCTCAGGTTGGGAACCACTAATCTGGCTCTAGCATTAAAGTGAAATTAAATGTGCTGCCTCAATTAGCAACTATCCAGCTGTCAAAAGACAACTTAGGGCTGTTGTGTGTATCATCCTTTAGGTCTGGTTTAAAGCTGCAGATAGGAAATCTTTAAAAAAATAACTTCTTGTCATATTTGCTGAAGTTTTCACTGTGTCCTGGCACAAAAATTAAGACAAATATTAAAATGATGATGACATGCATCTTTGCTTTGTATAGCTAGCTATAATCTTGTATTTATATTATTACATATATTTTGTAATAAAGCTGCATTAGATAACTTCTATTAAAAAAATTATTGCTGAAATTTTCACTGTATCCTAATCTACATGAGACAGATAATTTCAAAAAATCAACCGGACCTGGATGAAAACAACAAATCAGAGCATAGAAAGATATAAAGACACTTTGGGTTGGAGGCTTGAAGATGCTGATTGTTGAATTTCATTCCCAGGGTTCCAAAATGTCGGTATTCGACGTCCTAGGTATGAGATTCAGCAATCAAGTGATTGGTTGTTTTCATTTGGTCTGCTGGATTCTTGCAAATGCCATTAGAAGCACTAGGAGTACAAGTTCAAATACATTTGAAATTAATGCGATAGAGAGACAGTGTTGACAGTGATTATACCCTCATCAGTCGAGCTACAGCTTCTGCTGGGGTATGGCAACACCATTGGACACAATACAGAAGTATAGTGTAATACTAGGACCAGTAGCAATAATATTTACAATTTGTTAAGTCTGGTTATGATTATGACTGAATGGTAAATTGAATGTAGCTACTTATACAGCAACTTTTTATAGTATTTCGACTCAATGTGCTGTAGCTACACCACATGCACCTCATTTACCCACATTCATACACTAATTGCAGTGGCTGGCCAACTGCTCACGTGAAGGGAAACTACACACAGTCATATATCGAGAACAATTTAGGGTTTAGTATCTTACTCAAAGACACCTGACATGCAGCGAGAGGAGCCGGGGATCGAACCACCAACCTTCCGATTAGTGGACGACCCGCACTGAGCCTCAGCCGCCACTACGGTTGCTAATGGTTATTTCGGACGGAAGTGAAAATTACATCACAGTTGGTCAAAGAACTACACAAGAATTAAACTTTATTAATTAAAGTTAAAGTTACTAATACATTTGTCACATCTTAATGGTTTGAAGTGAATCATACGACAGAAAATGTAGTTTTTACAGGTTTATTCCGCTTTTTGTGTCACTGCTAAGAAAAACAGTTTACAAATTAAAAAAGGATGTATGTCATGTGAATTCTGGTGCTTGAATTTCTTTTATTCTTGATTCCCAATTTAAAATACAAACATGAATTTATGTCTGGACTATTAACAGTGGACTTCTGGGTATTTTTTGCAACAACCAGATAGGCTACATATTAATCAGTTTTCTCATTTCTCATGATTCTTTATCTATCTATCTATCTATTTACGCGGCTCTGTTTTTAAAAATGATGTGTTGGTAGAGACAGATGAGACAGTTTGGGGTGTCCTCTGTCTGCTGCTGTTGTGTTACGGCGTGAGTGGGTTACAAACACAAGAGGGCGTGTTGGTGTGTGTGTCCGAGCGGCTCCTGCGGGTCCTGGCCTGTCACCGCTCGGATTTTAGGGCTCACACCATCATCTGCTCTCTGCTGGGAACCATGCATTTTGGTCCTATTTTTCGTAAGGTTTAAGGATTAGCAACGTTGCTTTGGCTTCTGGACACTCATCCCGTGTATGATTCAGGTTTGCTTTCCAAAGTAGTCTCTCACAGGGCTGTTTTGTCGTGAGTTTGTCGTAAGTTAATATTGTCAGGATGCAAGATTTTCAGCTCACAGGCATCACTATATCAGTCCAGTCTCTAAGGACTGTTAATATAAATCCGTCCAGGAATGTTTCCTCTACGGCCCACTGTAGGCTATGTGTAGTTAAAATTAAATATTAAAAAAGCGATGGAGTGTGTGTTTTCCTTCATAGGAAACAGTTAATCATGTAAACAACAACCCACTCAGCAACAGCAGACTAATAAATAAGAGACTAAATTAACAGAACAGAAAAGAGCAAAGCAAAGCTGGAAAACAAATGATATGCAGCAATAAGTGTGCCAGTGCTTGTGTGTGTGTGTGTTGGTCAGGGTCTGCAGAGCCAATCAGCTGCTCATGCAGATGACGTGTTGCTGTCCTACGTCAGCCCCGCCGCCTGTCAGGATCAGAGCTCCACACACACCGGCAACAAACACATACACACACACTCCCTCTCCGAGCCGGACAGCACAGCCCCTGGCCTGGCAGCCCGGCAGCGGAGGACACATCCAGGCTTCCAGGCGCCGCAGCCCGCTGTGACAGTGGACCTTACGTCGCCTTACTTTGTGGACATGGGAGACATGGGGGATCCGCCGAAAAGTAAGACACTCGCTCGCTGTCGGGATGCATTTCTGGAAATGAATCCATCACACAAGTTGAGAGTTGAATTAGTTGTGTTGTGATGCCTGCAGACACACTCAGTCTCTGGGCCTCTTGCATTTTATCGAAAAGTGTCAGTAAAGGTTTAAATCATCGACTTTTTCCTAGATTTTCTTTTTAAATCCAGGCTATTAAATATAAATTATTATTATTATTTTTATTAGGCCGTTAAGGCCGTTTTGGTGTGTTATTAGATGAGTCTTCAGTAACATGACACTTGTGAACAGTGTGTGTCCTGGTCTTCCAGAGAAGCGGCTGGTGTCTCTATGCGTGGGCTGCGGGAACCAGATCCACGACCAGTACATCCTGCGGGTCTCCCCGGACCTGGAGTGGCACGCAGCCTGTCTCAAATGTGCCGAGTGCAGCCAGTACCTGGACGAGTCGTGCACGTGCTTCGTCAGGGACGGAAAGACTTACTGTAAACGGGACTACATCAGGTAGGACGGACGAGACGGGACGGGACGGACGACCCCCTTTTAAAGATAGAGGAGCTGGAGTTGCGCGGCGATTGGGAATATTTTTTTTATTTTGCGATATGAGTTTGAGAATATTCGGACTGATTTAAAACGCATGGAGCCCTGTTTTCAGTTCATCAGATTTAATGCATCTAAATATTATCTCCACTGCCACAGCAACTTGTTGTAGACCATGCGTCCTTCTAAGAAATGCTAGTATTTCATTAATATGTTTTAAAAAACAATGTGCATCAGGCCTACAAAATTACCTTATTAATCAATGATCCAACTGCAGCATCCTTTGCTCTGTGACAGGTGGACCTGGAGAAAATTATAAAAAAACATCCCGACTATTTTTATGACACAGCCTGTAAATGACTCACTCATTTGGTGTTATTACACCACGTGAACTATTATTCGATTAGCAGGCCTTCAGTTATTGTCTAATGAGAAAATGAATATTAAAGTTGTACTTTTTAGTACAACATTGTTAAAAACATCGTCAATTAGTAATAATAATAATAATAATAATGCATGGAAATATTGTTTTACAATTATTATAAATAACATATAAATGTTTTTATATTATGTTATTTTTTATTATTCTTTTTAAATATCGATGGTGTTATTTCTGTCATACTGTAGCTGCATTGAAACTGATGGGACCGTGTGTGTGTGTGTGCAGGTTATACGGGATTAAATGCGCCAAATGCAACATTGGCTTCAGCAAGAACGACTTCGTGATGAGGGCCCGCTCCAAGGTCTACCACATCGAGTGTTTCCGCTGCGTGGCCTGCAGCCGGCAGCTCATCCCGGGGGACGAGTTCGCTCTACGGGAGGACGGGCTCTTCTGTCGGGCCGACCACGACGTCGTTGAACGCGCCAGCCTGGGCCCCGGAGACCCACTCAGCCCGCTGCACCCCGCCAGACCGCTGCAGATGGCAGGTAAACGTCCCGGGGAGCGGGAGAGCCGCTAGGGGACTGTTACTGCTGGGACGCGTGTGTTTTCACTTGCTCGGTGACTTTTTTTTCTCCACGAAATTCCGATGCCTTTTCCCGTAATTTTATTTTGAGCCTTCAGAAAAAACTCCGTAAGACAGCATTTGTTTGTTGTTTAAATGAAGTGCATCTTTTGTATTTCACACTTTCTACAGTCTCACAATGTAATGTCAGTGTGGTTAATTCCATCTATATTTTAATATAAATGGCATGCAGTCCATCGAAGAGGAGCTTTCCTGCTTTCCATATTTGGCTCGTGGATGTTTTCTGGTTCTGGTTTCGGCTCCTGCTCCTCTCTGCATACCACAGTCCAGTCAGGCCAGGCTCGGTAGATTAGATACAGTGGGCGCTGCTGTCAGAAATACACCAAGTTATCACTGCTGGAATGGGGGGAGTGCGGATGCGTAATTGGAAATGCTGTGCAGTGCTGTGCATGTCTGCTCTTCGTTGGAGGTTTTCTTTTAGTAGACTGGCCGTATCGCCAGCTCGCCCTGGTGATTTTTAATACACCTGACCTCGGATCAGAGGAGTCAATCAGGGCTGCGCTGTCCTCCTGCATTTAAAGCTAATGTGCAGTGATGCCTATAGATCATGGAAGCAGGAAATGTGGTGTATTTAAAGGAGGTTTATCACAGGACTAAATTGAGTAGAATTATAAACCAAATGTAGAATTTTTCGGCTATGATGTAAACTCCGTGTCTATAAGGAAGATTAAAACAAACTCATGTGAAGTTGTGCATCCTGTGCTGCAGGAGCACATATGGCTGCAGCTAAACACCAATAAAAACCACAAGCCTATGTCCACACACCATCACATGATATCATGTTGGTCCTCACATCATTTGTAGCAGACAGACTAATAGGCTTGTCTGTCCCCCGTTCCTTTCTCAACAGCAGAACCAATCTCGGCCCGGCAGCCCGCGTTGCGGCCTCACGTCCACAAACAGCCAGAGAAGACCACCCGGGTCCGGACGGTGCTGAACGAGAAGCAGCTACACACGCTGCGGACTTGCTACAACGCCAATCCAAGGCCCGACGCCCTAATGAAGGAGCAGCTGGTGGAGATGACCGGCCTCAGCCCGCGGGTCATCCGGGTCTGGTTCCAGAACAAGCGGTGCAAGGACAAGAAGAGGAGCCTGCTGATGAAACAGCTGCAGCAGCAGCAGCCCAATGACAAGACGGTAAGAGGACTGAGGAAACCCTCCTCGGGTCTCTCCTACTGACATTATGCTGAAACGCCTACGTGAGGACAAAACTGTATTATTGACCCTAAATGTTGCAACTCTTGTCTGCTCTTTCATTATTTATTGACATGTTTAACCCCTGAGTAGATTTAATTTACAGCCTCGATAACCAATACGATTGCAGAGTGGTCTAGTTCAGCCCCAAATTAGGTCTTGGTTAGGGCACAGGGGGACAGAAGCTCCGGTTTATGTTTTATGTGCGTAAAATTACCGATCAAAAAGGCCTTTAAGGTCTTGGAGCCCGTGCACGGTTGTGGGGTCAAACCCGCGCAAGAGCAACAGCACACAACACACACACAGACACATATTAATCTGTTTCTCTGTTTATTTACGTGCTTATTTGTTTACTTGTTTATTGATTGTTTTACGATTGACTGGTGGATTCATTTCAGACGCCACCCCCCTTCCCTCCTTCGCAGACACAAACAGACATACTCACATATACGCGCGCGCGCACACGCACCCCCAGCCACCCACACCCCATCATGTGTAATCACCCACAATGAAAGTGTATACTGGGTGCTGACCACGATAAGTTCTCTTGCAGAACATCCAGGGAATGACAGGAACCCCAATGGTGGCGGCCAGTCCTGAACGGCACGACGGCGGCATCCAGGCCAATCCAGTGGAGGTGCAGAGCTACCAGCCGCCCTGGAAGGTCCTCAGCGACTTCGCCCTGCAGAGCGACATCGACCAGCCGGCCTTCCAACAACTGGTTGGTGTTTTTTTGTTCACTAAGTCATTAAGGCACTCCTACTTTACATCTATTAATTTAGTTGGAATGTCATATTCAGGTTCTCATCTCAACCCTTGACGCGCTGTGGTTTCTCCATGCAGAAAAATCCAATTTTATCATGGAAAAGGTATTCTAAATAGCAATTTAACGAATAGGCTATGTGGGTTCTATTGTTTAAACTATTATAATTTATTCGACTGCCCCTCAACGTCTTTGGATATTTATTCAAATTGATCATGTTTTCTCAGGTGCGCATCATCACACCTGTTAAATGGCAAGGTGGTTTCATATTGGTACATATTTTTTTTATTCTTCCAACATGTTTTTTTTATTATACGTGTTTTTTCCCCTTCAACGGATATGTCTTTTGGCATGTGCTGCTCGTTTTATGCATCCGTTACAGCTGGTTACGGTTGTGAGTTGTGTGCGACCAATATTCAGCACCCTGTCAAGCATCTCAACTGGTTCATTATTTTTCTGTTAAATTCACATTCATACATAGATCAAGTTGTTCATATATTCGACCAAGACTCCCTCGAAATAAAATCAACATAATAACTGACCCGAGGATGCAGGACAGTTACGACCAATGTTCCTTTCTAGAGATAATTGTATTCTTATTGATTCTTTTTTTTTTTTTTTTGAGTGACGCACACAGGCAGCATGACACGGTCTGCTTAAATCTCCTAAAATGAACTCCAGCGTAGACGCGCTGCGGCTGTAAGCAGCGCCACGTCTTACACACATAAGTGAATTGTTAGCGTTTATGACAATAACTGCAAATGTGACTCCAAATCCCTCCCTTCTTTGGTTGTAGGAGAGCTGACCTGCGATTAGACAATAAAATTGTGTTATGGTTGAACAAATATTGGGGAACTACGTCATTTAGCCTAGTTAAATACAGGATTTAGATCTTAGCATGGATAATTAAACGTTAAATGTCTATAATTAAAATACAATTCCCTTCATGGTCTGGACCAATATATATATATTTGTTTCCATTCCCATCACTACAGCACAGGTTCTACAAGCTCTTTAGAGATTTGAATGTGTGTGAATTATCACGCAGAAACTTTATTCTTCTATAAAATAAAATCAGAAAAGGTAATCCATCAGAGCGTTTTTGTGTTGTAAATAAGACTACTGTTCCGTTGCAGTGCAGCAAATACAAATCCATCTACAATTAAAAATCATTGCCAATCAAACATAAACGCAAGATGTGATGGATCAGCCCGCCGAACTCAAACAATTCAGTCATTGCTAGTTTCTATTCAGTTAAATGACTTGCTGCTTTGGAGGTATCCGAGGCCTACTGGACCAGGGTTTTCAAACTTTTTCACCTCAAGGACCCCTTGACACATATTAGACCACGGAGCACCATTTTATATGATTGTATATGATGGTCCCCCATCTGATAGGACTTTTGCTTTTAGATGTTTTATTACAGAAAGCGAATGATACATATAATGAAAATAATCATACATCCTGTCATTGTTTTATTCATAGGTTATGGAATTACAGTGAATAGAAATGGCTCTCCTTTTTGCCTGACCCCACTTTAAAAACTCACTGCACTAGACAATAATTTAAAAAAAATACCGGTTTGTAAAATATCCACATCCTACCTGGTGAGAAATTTACTTTCCAGTCTGACTCTAAAACAACAAACTCTCCCTTGTTCTGTATCCAGATGTTTCTGACCGCTGGTTGATGTGTCCCTGCAGGTCAGCTTCTCGGAGGGAGGACCGGGTTCGAACTCGACGGGCAGCGAGGTAGCGTCTATGTCGTCTCAGCTTCCAGACACGCCGAACAGCATGGTATCCAGTCCCATCGAAGCCTGAGCGGACGCCGCATGGACGGACTGAACTGAACACACAGCCCCCCGTTCATCCCATCCCCCCCTACTGCACCAAACAACCCCCTGGTTGTATTTTGACACTGTGAAGACAATCATGGGATTTTTTTTACCACAGCCACCCATTCTAATGTCCATCCAGAAGGGGACAGAGGGATGAGTCGTCATGGCCGGTGCTGCACGCTCACACGCCTGGTTACAGTTGCCAAAACGAGAAGACATGAACTCCATCGATACATGGGACCTCTGATAGGAGAGAAACCTAAATCCTGTACTTGCGAAATGCTGTGCGCTAGCCTTCTTTGAATAGAAAACAATGACTGGTGATTTTTTAATTCGATACCGCACCTCATTATTTAATAGACCATTTGGAGGGGAACAGCACTGCTTTTCTTCATTTAATTACACCATTTCCTTCATGACCCGAGTACTAAAGCATTTGCAACAAGGTATACCTCTATTTTGCCACAAGCTTCGTGGGACATTTGTGTGAGTTAGTGTCCGTCCGAGATTTTTTTTTCTTTCCCAAAGATGTGTATAATTAATAATAAGTTAAAAAAAATACCGTTAGCTCTGGAAGAAAATGTTTCTTTTGTTCCCGTGCAACAAAAAATTATTTATTATTTATTGTCGACAAATTTGCCACCTTTTGTGTAACTTTCTTAACTGAAGTAAAAAGAAACAAAAAAAGATTGGAGTTTGGTCTGTGGATTTTCTGTCACAATTGAATGTTCCGTGTTTTTTTTATTTTATTATTTACAAAATAATACAATAGGGAAGCAGGGGCGGATTTAGAGAAAAATTCATGTGGTGTCCAGAGGGCGACATGTAGACTTTAAGGGGTGGCAGAAATATCTGCTGATTTAATTGCACATATGTCAGTAATTTGCTTGGAAAAGCCTCCAAATGAAGATATTTGAACTCAAAAATGATTGTGGCACATTAGTAAAGCAATGAATAGAAATATCTAAAGGTGGCATTATATATCAATACATTGTTTTATTTTCATAAATACATGTCTTTTTTCATATAGATCAATTAATTAATTTCTGTTTTTAGCATGTTATTTTTAAAATAAATCTAAATTAATAGATTAAAATTGATAGCATTTGACACCAAACTAGGGTGGCCAGGAACTTTTTAGGGGTGCATCAGATCTATTAAATGGCTTGATAGATGCCCTGTGGTTAATTGTGTGTCATGTTGGTGCAGACGCTATCTGAATTATCTGCTTTAGAAGTGCAGATATGAGAACAAAACTTCTGGCTACTAAAATTGTATTGTCTTCAATCTAAGTGATCAAATCTGACAGTGAAATTTGATTGTCTTAAACAGAGAAATTCCTTTCCAGAAATGTTTGGAGGCAAATGTCATTTTTTTGATTCTAGTGCTGTAATCCGCCTTCATTTTTACACAGCAGAAACAATAACTCCCACAACCTTTTTTTTTATTCAGAGGTTGTAATGAATGATATTCCTGGCCCCATGGCTTGGAGGTAGTCTGACCTCTCTTTCCTTAACAGGAACAATGTGTTTGCTGGGATTTAGATTTTTCATATCAAATCTTTGTCAAAGTTTTTATTCTTCGTCCATAAAAAAACAAATAACAACATTTGGAGTCACATTTTGATGATGACTGTGTGATGAGCTGTATCAACCTCATGAGCAGAGAGTTCTTTATCTCTAAAAACAGCCTCTAGCTGATCAGGTAATATTTATATATGACAGTGTTGTAGTTTCTTGGTGTGTGTGTGTGTGTGATTATGTGCGCTGACACAATTTATACGATTTAAAAGTGAACAGTCCTCATCCAATCAGCTTAATGCGGACACTCTCCTTTTAAGATTGAAATTGAAAAGATTAAGTTTCATGGAGAGAGACGCAAGTTTGAAGATGTCAGTCTGTCAGTGCATCACTGTCACTGGTAAGCTGCTTAATTCGTTGCTCAGTGCATCCTCTTGTCTCCTGTCCTGTGAATTCTCTGTGCTATGTGTCACACCATCTTCCTTGAAACATAATTTATAGCCAGAGGTGACTGCCAGAGTTAGAATTTCTTGACTTATTAATGAGTTGATAATTTTTTTTTTAAATGTGTCTCCTGGATTATCGTCCCTACATGCACTTATGAGGGATCTAGAACATAATAAAGACCAAATTATATTTGTAAATACTTACAGCTATCATTACAACTGTATTGAGAAATAACATAATTTGCCATAAATACAATACACAACAATTCATTAGTAAGATAGGGCATTGAACATACCATGAACCTTTTCAAAATGGTTTCCCCTCCAGGAATTGAACATAAGCTGTTTTTGTCATAAAGCTGATGTAATGAAAAACAATTGCCACCACAAGACAGAAAAATAAGCCAGCTAATATAGGGTTTAAAACATTTCAATAATTTTAATTAATTTTTTTGTTTTACTTTTCCAGAACAGATTGCTTAAAATGAGTGAATGAAGAAAACTGACATGCTTACAATGCTGGCGCCATATAGGACATTAAGAGAAGGATGGTCAGTGAGGTCATACAAGCATCACTGGGGGAACAAAGACGGACAAGCCTAACAGATGACAAAGCATAATCTGCAGAATCAGAAATTAGTCTGCACATTTTACTGCACGGGGTTGGAAACAATGACAAACTGAAAGACAGTGTTCCATCCTCCTTAAATCCTACATTGTCTTTGGGATCACCTGCATATTTGTTACGACAAATAACATATCCAATTGTGATTGACTTTGAGTTGATACATTTCCACTGGTCTGTGTGTGTCCAAAAAGATAAATGTATGAGGTTTTTTAGTAGAAAAGAGAAGAAACTTTTCAACACAATACTGTGGCTTTTATCCTATATATCACATGACTATTGTACATCATGTAAAATTGATCTTTATACAAAAATACACAAATTCGGAAAGAGCATATATGGTTAAAAATAATGAAATACAGTAAATGCCCTTCATAGCTGGAACTTTAATGTACAATATATTGATAATTGATAAAAGCTTTTTTTATTTCTGGGAATTAAGATTATTATTAGTTATTATGATGAGAAAAATGTGATATTTGTAGATGTGAACAGTGAAGGAAAATGAAATGTCATGTTTACATTTACTGTGTGACCATGAATCATTTCAACAAGGTCATTTTTTGTCACTGTTTTAATTTTTTCCTACCACAGACGTGTGCATACCATATCACCGTTTACCAGGAAGTGATGGTATGCTATTGAAAAGTATGGCAACTGATGGGAAAATGAGAAGTGCCAGTACTCAGTATCAGGGAGTACATGCAGATTCCATCACTGCTGTTGGACATCTCTAACCTAAAGGAAACTGGACTTGCAAAATCATGCAAGAATCCATTTTAAAATGTTTCAAGCTATTTCTGAGTTCTATTAGAACTGGACAGTTTTTCTTCACTGAAAGAAGAGCAAAGAACAGCACTGAAGGCTATTCTTGATGGAAAAGATGTTTTCTCTCTTCTCCCAAATGACAGTAAGAGTTTGACTACGGTATATGGTTCATTGATCTGACTTTTTAAAGTTTACCTGTGATAGATGGTGATAGACCGATAGTTCATCCAATCACCTGTCCAGTGTTTCCAACATGACTTTCCAGATGGTTCTGTGTAACAAACCATCTGTCACTGTCAGGTTAAAGTATCTCTATGAGATCTCTATTTTTGCTGATTTAAAGACTAGATTACCAACTTGCTATGCAATAAATCAGAATCATGTTACAACACCATCAATGAATTCACAAATGACAAATGAGAACTATTGAGCAAGCACACAACAAATTTGTACAATCAATCGGCAAGATTTGAGAGCATGGTAGAAGAGACAGGAAAGCTTAAAATAAGTTGAGAGTAAGTGAGGACAGAGGGCTTTATCTTTGTATGAGTGTATTGCCTCTGGCCTTTTCGCTACATTGAGGAAAATGCAACACACTGCCACTGTTTGTCTGGTATTTCCATGTCTTGCCATCCAGAGAGGTGCAGTGGGGGGAATGTCACTAGCAATCCAGCAATGCACTGTAATTTTAGTGTCAAGATTCACTGTATTTTGCCCCTTCTGCCTGCTGCTCCTCAGAGCAGGTCAACAGCTCACTGCACAGTGCACCTTTGCACCCACATAGAAGCCTTTTTATGTCCGCTTTTCTTGTCTGTTTTACTTTGACTCTACACTTTTCACTCACTAAAAACATCTACATGCACCCCAAGGATACATCTTTACTCCAAATGTGGCAATAATTACCAAAGGCAGAGTAAATATAAATGTGTTTTCCACAGCAGCTGTTATACACAACAGCTGTACATTCTCTTTCAGTTGATTGACTCCCCATATAGCCATTGAAAGGTTGCCTATGTAATTCCCCTCCAGTCAAAATTGAAAAAAAAAAATGTCTTCTTGTTCCTAGAGTTGAATGGTTAAGCTTCACTGTGCAGAAGGATGTGTGTGCAGAGTTTGAGACTAAAAGGGGCGGGGCCTACAAGCATGATTTGTGACATCACAAACAGTTTGGAAGTCCTGGTCCAATATGCAACTTCTACAGTGTGAAGTCATGTCGAAATTGAACAACATTTGCATATTCATGGTTTCTGGAATTTTTACTGAGGTTGAAGACTTTCCAAGCAGAATATCTGTATATATATTTGAATTAGGTCTGGAGGGGTTTGATTTAGGTTTAAACACCACCACCTCCTTATCAAATTTTGAGTCTTACTTACTTAATGCTACTTCCACCTGGTCTTCCATCTGACAGTCAGTATTCAAGACAAAAGCAAGCATAGGTTGTGTTGAACAAACGACTGATATCATAGAAAAATACCACAACTGCACAAGCAGGTCATCTGCACATTCAACGCAATGCCCTTGACTGTTCATTATATACAAGCTTGTTTTCACTTTCACTCAAACTCAGATCAAGCAGAGCAAACTAGACTCCACCCATTATAGTCCATCTGCTTTTTTCTTTTGTCCACAGACAGAAGTCACCTAAATTATTGACCCATTAGCCATGTTCACACTAACAATAGCTTTGCTTCAAAGAACCGAAGCTTCTCATTTATTTGAATGAGACCACTGTGTTGGCACAGCGGGGAAGCCGACACAGAGGGCTCTGGTAAAAAGTGGCAGTCGTAACCCTGAGTAAATACACCAATACATTTGTTCTTAATAGTGTTGAGAAATTACCTGTTTCCATTTTCCCAATGGACAGCGCTGATTCAATTCAATTCAATTAAATTTTATTTGTATAGGGCCA